ACGAGTCCGTTAAGATGCATGTTAGAAGACGAGTTGGAACAGAGAACACTACACCATTTAAGAGATACCGAACATCAGTCGAAAGCTTATGAGACGAAAAACGGCAAAACGTGTAAAAAGTAATAAATGAAATTGGAGTTCTGCATGGTTTTATAGAAAAGTGAGCGCTTCGGGGAACAATAGTGGGAGGGAATATTCGCACGTTGGGGAAGGGACATCAGATTGCTAAAGGCTATTTGGAAGGATTGGTTTCTTAATATGCAAACACAACAATTGTTTTCACAAACACATTGCGCACCACAAGTATCGAATGAGAATTGAATGCTTCCCGCCGATTTTATTCTTTAATTACTTTATTTATTATGAATCTGTCATTTCATTCGCATGCTGCGGAATATTAAGTAACCTCCAACGTACGATTTATTAAACGATCTTTTAACGTTTAATGACAAAATTATATTTATCTCTTGCTCATTGTTAACATATTGAAGTTGATCTCTTTAATTACTTCGTTCATCGAACGCAAGAAACTAGTTTTACAGTATAATGTTGAACTTACGAAATCTCATTTCAGAGTATATATAATTTTTAATTTATAATTTAATATCTTTTACAAATTGACTTTTTATGGTATGTATAATTTTTAATAGACTCTGTTAATATATCAGAATATATTAGAATTCTATGTAAAAAAAATATGTGTAAGTTTCTCCTCATTTGAATGTTAAGTTTTTATACATTAAAATTATGTCGCTTTGAAATTAAGCAAGCTCTATTATTTGCGTCCTTCGAGATTCGTCAAGGATACAAGACGCTATTATTTCAGCTAGCTCGATCATTGTAATTGTAGTATGATTCGAAAGAAATTGGTCATTTACATATACATTCAGTACCTTTTTGTCGATGATCTATCGCTTCTACGAAAATAGCATCTAACTCTACATAGCAGGTTCTTAGAAATCATACTAACGTAATGCCATCTGTTCTTTGTTTCTGCTAAACTGAATACTCTAAATTACTAAGAATTGTACAATTATTTTTGTTAAAAAATATTGCAACTTACCGAAAGGGTTGTACGACGTTTTCCCATTTTTGTTTCCAACAACGTCCAAGATACCACGGTTGTTGCCATCAGAGAGAAATCGTCGATCATGATTGATAAATAAATCATAGCTACCGACGCGTCCATAATTCACCATGTCATTTTTGTTTCTTGAAATTTTAAAATTACACATTTCTTTTGCATGAAATTCTGTTTAAATTATTATATTCAATGCAATGTAAGTTGTTGATCACGAAATAAAATATTAACGTGCGTCTTTAAGTATACCGTAATTTGTTTACATTTTTATTTATTTCGAGTATTAAAGAATTGATTATATTGTAAGAAACACTTGCACACTTTTTTAAGAACGAGAAGAAAAAAAATCTTATGACAATCATAGAGTACTAGTGTTAATGTGAATTTTAAAATTACTTTTCACGTTCTTTGTATAAAATATAAAAATAAAAGTCAGAAGAGTATTACCTCGAAAATGACAGTGTATCGTGTGGTGTAAATACCGACATCGATTCTGGTACTAATTTCGAGAAAGGATTATTGTTATTTGCAACAGACCCTTTACCAATAAGTTTGTCTGCTTTCGCCGAACGATTTTCGCTTTCGTGTATAAAACTCTTATAGAAACGATCGAAATCACACCATATCGAATCTCTTCGTTTTCTCGCGTAAACGTCGTATTCTGCATGAGTTTCTAAATCTTCTAATGCTGGTATCTGTCGGCTAATTAGACAGGTGCTATTACCCTTTGCACCGACGCTAAAAAGAAAAAGAAGTGTGAATGTCTGAACAAAAAAAAAAAAAAAAAGAAATAATTCAAGCAAATCGATGATGTTTTAAGAAGAAGATATTTCACATAAAATTTAACCGAGAAATTACACGTATAATATTTTTTTTATATTTTATTCAAGCTATTTTCGAGAATACAAATAATGTCGAAAATGACTAAAAGACTGTAGCAAAGATGGAATTCAGTACAAATATTGTCAATATCCCCCGTACCCAAATGAAAATGCATTGCAACCGTGCTTGCTTTTCAAACAATATTCCTCACATTCTGTCAAACTTATGGCATTAGTTCGTAACACTATATCCATATCGGGTAGTTTAGAGCCAATAGATATCCTCGTATAACAATCTAAAACAAAAGGTTCATTTTTCATATTAATAGAAACACGTTTCTTATACGTTTTGCATTGCACAAATTACCATTTCCGGTAGGAGTTAAACGATTGTCAATCGTAAGGCACGGAGTACGCGGACATTGTTGAAGAACAGTGAAAACTTGAATCACGAGTATCAGGTATATACGACTCGGTCTAAACATCTCGATATATACATATCATATATCAATGATTCGAATTCGTACGATGATCGATGTTACTTATTACTCGGACGATTAATTAAATAAAGATTCGACTGGTCGAATTTACGTTCACTGTAATTACAAGACTTGATGACATTATCGATAACGCGGCCATACATCTTACACTAGATACTTCTCAGCTCAGAAAGTGAAATAGTTCTGCTGTAGTTTCGTTTCTGTAACATTCGACGATCTAAACTTGACTGAGAATACTAACG